TCCGGGAGGCCGCTGCCGCGGGGGCTCAGGACAACCTTTCCCTCAAATCAATCTCTTTTGATATCTTTCTCACATCTCCAACTTCTATCTCTCCTAGGCGTCATGGCTTCCATTCCCCCCACCCCCATCCAGCCTGTCATCGTCAACATCTACACGCGCGAGGAGCTTTCCGCGGCCGGGCATCTTGACATGTTCGCCAAACGGACCACAAAATCTGACGCCCTGAAGTTGACCACCACGGCGCACAAGATTCGCAAGAACCCCGGCATCCCCACCCTGGTGAAGGACCTGGCCTCCTTCGCGCGCACCATCTTCGGCATCACCACCACCCCCGTTGACATGCTGCGCGGCGGCGACCTGGTCTTTCAGCGCATCATCACGGCGGATGCAGCGGGGCCCTTCACTCTTCCTCCATCGGCGACAGACGTCCCCGATCCACGGGCGGGGTACAGCCTGGGGTTCATGCTGATTCAGGTGCTTCCCCGCCCCCCCCTCCGTGCAGTTAAGTTCTACCACCCGGCGACCGAGATCCTCGCCTTTCAGCTGGCAGCCGATGGCACAGCCGTTTACCTTTTGCTCCCGGCCTATTTCGTTCAGACGCTAGCTGGCGCACAGGCGGCCATGGATGAGTGGTTTACAGCTGAGCGTCTGGCGGTCATTCCTGGGGAGCTTGTCAGGCTGGAGGCTTCCTCGCTTAGTCATGCCCTCGTCCTTCGTGCCCCCCCGCCTGCCCCTGAGCCAGCAGCAGCTAGTGCCCCCCCCCGTCTTCAGACAGCAGAGCTTGCGCAGTCGCTCCTTCCCCTTGGGACGATCATTCTAGGCGACAGGACCCGCTCCGCTTCCGACCTGCTCGCTGCACTCCGTGGCGCTGGCGTCACCACTGCCATGCTTCCTAGCGCTCCCACTCGTGAGGAGAGCACTACTGGCCCCCCGCAGTACGCTTTCCTTGCTGGCGCCATTTCCCATGTGCCCGCACTGCTCATCCACCTTCAGGACGTTGCCTCTGCGGGCTGCGCGCCTGCTCTGACCAGCTACCTTCCGCCCAGCGCTGGGAAGGGCGTCCCTTACCAGCTTCAGCAGAGCTGCTTTATCGCCCAGAGCGTTCTTTCCCGCTTTTCGAGCACCCAGTCCGCAGCAGCTTCCATCCAGAGCGTTCTCCGCACGTTTGAGCGCTTCTCCTCGGTCGACGTCTTGATCATGCCTGATCAGGGCAGAGAGGACCCCGTCTTGGGCCGCTGCACCCTCGTCCGGATCTTTTCCTCCAGCATCACCACCTTCATCGCGTGGCTTGACGAGTTCCCCGACGGCGTCCCCATTTCGATCACACTCCCCGACGGCACTCAGGTAAATAATCTATCCTGTGAGCACCTATTAGCAATCCGACTGCACGCAGTGCTAGTTGTACGTCCGCCTCCACTGCTGTCAACAAAATTGTTTTTGCTGCGTTCCCTCCCACCTTTCCACACGCGTTTCATGTGCTGCAAGTCTTACCCAAATCTACTTTCGTTAGCTCGACTGTTTTTGGATCTCACCTCTGCGCCCCTAATTTGCTTCCATACAACCCCCCTTTTGCACTCTCACCAAGTATTTGAACCCATTGCAACTCCTTGTTTCCCTCTGCTCTTCTCTTTTTCCCTCAATCTGTTCTTGAAGCATCCGTCTACACTCTATTCAAACATGCAAGGATGTAATCTACATTCAACCGCGCACAACGTCTCTTTTCCCCCTCAGGTGACCCCCTGCCTCAAGCTCCGCGCCCCCTCCTACGGCTACGTTAAGTACAGCCCGGGGGACTCTCTCCTCACTGCCGCTGACACCCAGCTCCTCATGACCTGCGACGACCCCCAGGCCCTGCTGCTCGCGGGTCTTACCATGGCGCGCGTCCTTTATGGCCTGGACCCGCTCACCACGCAGGATGAGGACGACGTTGTCTTCACAGAGGAGGACGTGGCCGGCAACCCGACCCTCGGCTTCAGCACGGGGGCAGTGCTGGCTGTCATCCTCACCCAGACTGGGCTCTCTGTCTACCCGGAGGGCACGGCGCACCCCCAGAACAAAATCACGGTCTGCCCGTTCCTTCGCAGCGTGGCAAACTCTGTTAAGCACGTCAAGGGCCAGCGCACCCCACCTTTCGAACAGCTGACGTACAACCGGTTCCCCGCAGTCGCTCCTATTGTCACGAAGCTGATTGCCGCCAGCACTGAAGCCCCAGCACGCGACAGGGCGGTGGCGACGGCCCCATTGATTGTTGACATCACCGCGATCGGCCCAGGTGACACGTCTGACCCCCTCTTGTCTCGCTCAGCACGATTGCTTCTTCTCAATAGCCATTACCTCAAGACCATGCCGCAAATGATCGAAATCTTCAAGCTGCTTCATCACTTTCTTCTAACCGCTCCAATTTCCTCTGCCCCAATGGTCATCCTCGTGCATTCAGACCAAGGGCCCCCCTTACGGATCCCCTTACCTCGCACAGTGCCGCGTTGTCCCCTACAGGTGCGGATGCGGACATGTCT